CATATGGCCCTCTAGGTCCTCGGCTGTGGCCTTTTGACTGTTTGAAGTTTTATAGAACACTTGAAGTTTTGGAAAACACTTGATGAAAAAACTTCACAGATGAAAAAACTGAGGCTGAGAGAGACAAAAAGTGATTTGTCCAGAAAGACCTGGGTTCGGGTTTGTCTTATCCCTTCCACCCCCACCTTTCTGGGATCTAGTGACAATGATCTCTTTACCATTCCTTTCACAAGTTTTATAGAACAAATCCTTTTATTAAGGGGATTTGTTCTGTTAAGTTTGGATTCAGTCAAAGGGCCACACTTGAGGACCTAGAAGGCCATGTGTGACCTCAAGGCCCAAGGTTCCCCACCCCTGGCATATACATATACATATATACACACACATATACATGCCTAAGTATTTTTATCACTATATTTCAATGTAATCAATTTCCCTCGTACTCCTATGCATTTTATTGTTTATTCTGAGAAGGGCTCTGCAGGTTTAACCAAATTCCCAAGGGGTTCTATGACTAAAAAAAAGTTAAGAATTTCCAATCTTGTCCAACCCCTTGATTTTACAGATGAAGATACTGAAGCACAAAGTGATCTGCCCAAGATCACACAAGTACTAAGCAGTTGTTGTCCTTCATTCTTTAAGAGGACCAAAATGACATCACTATATTGGAGTCAAGATACTATGTGTCACACTATAGCTGATCAGACCAGCATGAGTTTAGGAGGCTCTACCATAGGTCGGGCACAATGTCCATATGAACATTCCGAGTGGAGATGTCTCTAAATTTGCACATCTCAGCAGGTACTAAGTAGAAGAGCCAGAACGAACGTTTCCTCCTGAAGACAGCACCCAGGGAAAAAACTTGGCATTTACCCTCCCTGGCTCTGATTTACAGAGCTACCAGAAAAACTATTCCTTGACCTTTGGTTCAGCAATTCAACCCTGACCTGTGACAAGGGACTTAATTCTGGAGAATAAGAAGTGGGGGGAAAAGGGCAATCAAATGAGAAGGACCTATTAGGTAGCTGGAGAGACAAAGAAGTCAAGATAGTCCCTGTCCTCAAGGAACTTACAGTCTAATGGGGGAGACAATATGCAAACAACTAAATACATCCAAGATATATACAGGATAAACTGGAGATAGATAACCTCAGAGAGAAGGCAGGAAAGGAAGGTGGGATTTTAGCTGAGGCTTGAAGGAAGCCAGGAGTCAGAGAGTACCAGGCATGGATTATAGTCACTGAAAAGACATAGTAGGAAGATAAAGTATCATGTGAAAGGACCGGTAAAGAGATCATTATCACTGGCTCCCAGGAAGGTGGGGGTGGAAGGGATAAGATAAACCCGAACCCAGGTCTTTCTGGCCAAATCACTTTTTGTCTCTCTCAGCCTCAGTTTTTTCATCTGTGAAACTGGCATAATAATACCTGTCCTAACTACTTCCTGTGGTCATTATGAAGTCCATATGAGATAATTGCACATCAAGTGTTTTCCAAACCTTCACGTGCTATATAAATGTCAGCTCCTCCTCTTGGCACTTATAAATTCCAAGCTCCCAAGTCCAGAATTATATCTTATTCATCCTGGCAGCCTCCTCCAGCCCCTTGCACAGAGGAAGTGTTAAATGTTTATTGAATTGAACTGAAAGTTTCATGCCCTAAACAATTAAGGGCCCTTAGGGATGATTTCAGGTCAATCACTGCTCTTTTCAGCAATGTGGGGAAATGGGGAGGGCAGCCTAGTGGAGGCCCTAGACCAACATAAATTCTTTAATTCTTCAAGAATTATCTATTCTTGAAAAGAAGTCTTTAGGACAGTCTAAAAAAAAATCATCACCATCATCTCTCCAGTTTCTCTAACCCAACATCACCCACTTGTATTACCAGTTTTCAACATCTTTAATTTTTCCTTTAAAAAAAATGCCCTTAACATTAGAGTTTCCATAATTCAGCAGAAGATCACCTAAGGTCTATCTATATACCCAGCACCACCCCACTTTCTCCCAGTTCATCACCTCTCTTCCCTCCATCTTCCAGAACCTAATCCATAGGATCTCATTTAAATAAACCGTACATTTAAAAAAATTCAAGGAGGCTCATTCACACGGAAAAGATAGAGAGTGGGCATTCCAAGGATATTACATCTCTGCGCCACCGTGCAGGGCATTCAATTTTCCACACTCATTAGAGCTAACTCAACAACAGCCCTGCCACACTGACTTTCTTAACCATGAACTACAGTAAGTAGGGAAATATGTGCCTGCAATACCCCCCCACCCCCCCCACCCCCAACCCCTCCCAACCCCCCACCCCCGCTGTTCCTGGACAGCCTCCAAAATCAGGTGCAAAAGCAGTGAGAGGTTCTTGATACTGAGAGTTATTAAACACTAGAATAAAATCCTAAAGGAGGCCGGAAGGGATATTCGTGGCAAACATCATGTCCAACCACCTCGTTTTACAAATTAGGGAAGTGAGATTTGGAAAAGTCAAATTACTTGTCCAAGGTCACAGAGTCTCAAACTCAGGTCTTCTGGTACCTAGTTCAGTGTTCTTTCCCCTTCCTAAAAGTTGTGGGAGGGGTTAAGAGGGGAAGAGGGGAGATTTTCATCCATTATAGATGAGAATCAAGGTGGATCTTCCTTCAGAGAGGGGTGTAAAACATATAAAAGTTGTCTTACAAATCTGTGATCCTATGAAAGAGAAAAAAAAACAAGAAAATAAAAAAAAATTTAAACCCTCCCACACCCTTCTAATTATAAGAAACTTGTTTTTCTTCAGACCAAAAGGAAAAAAAAAAATCCTTTTCTTTGTTTAGTTAAAACAAAATGGAAACATCCAAGCACTGACTCTCTGACAGAGACTCTCTACCCCTGCTACTTCAAGGTTATTAGAAATTCTCAGGGCACTTCTGTGATTTTGTGATCTAAAAGCATAATTGTGATTCACTTTGATTCTTCTTAATATGCCATACAAAACTTTTCTGAGAGCAAGAGAGGTGTCCCAAAGATATGTGATGGCCGGATTTTCTGAACCAAAATCAGGATAAGTGATCTAATGCTTTTTAAAGTCTTTTTTAAAGGCTTCTGTTGAAATAGGGATTATTCTAAGATATCCTGAAGGTATGGCCATAACACCCTAATCTAAGGAGTCCTAGCAACTCTAAAAAAAAATTGTAAACAAACAGTTGTCTTTGACCTAAAATTCTATTGCCTCATTTTCCAAACGCTTCTGCAATGAGAATCTTTATTCTTTGTTGGCTCCCAGAACAGCAGAAGTATAAATACAGGCCCGGCTTGATGTATTCAGCTGAGCCAAGGTAGACTTGTGGCCTTTAAAGAATGTTTTAGATCATATTAGAGTAGGGGAAAAGAAGGTTAAAAGAGCAGAGAATTCATATCAGTTCTTTCAGAAACAGTCCCCAAATAGCTGTGTCTTCAACAGCTGCCTTGCCTTAAATCATGTGCTTCCATTGTACAACTTAAAGCAAAATGCAGAAATTTAATCTAGCTATATCTATCAACCATCTATGTGCAGAGTTGGTGGTACCATTAAAAACTATATATTCTGCTGGTGCCTTTATTATTTATGAATATCATACTGAAAGCCAGACTCCTCCAGGGGAATCAGGAGTGGCCAATGGGACTCAGAGATTAAACCCGGACAATGCTTTCCGCTTTTTAAAGCTAAAGCACTTTTTCTGGTACAAAGTAGTGAGACACTTCCCACAAGAAAACCGAATGCTCTTTCATTCAGTATGTGCCCAGCACACCAGAAATGGGTTTGAATGGAATATGTTTTGTATTTTCAAAGTCACTGCCATGTATGCCAGCATTGGGTAGGACTGAGAGAGGGAGATCCCCGACAAGAAGGAAATCTTAAAAGGTACTGCAAATAATGCCTAGGAAGGAGCAGGATTCTTGGGGCACCCTCAATGAAATAGGGTCAGGCTGGGCAGAGGTGTACACACACACACTCTCTCTCTCACTCTCACTCTCTCTCACTCTCATTATGGGGCCTTATTCCCATAAGCCAAAAATGCACCTTGGCCCAGAGACAGCCTCTTCCCAAACTTCAGCCAGAAAGAACTAACTGCACAACTATGCAAAGCGAAGCCTCTTTCCTCACCCAGATCCCCACCCCCAGCCCACAGCATCCAAGGTTCCCTGGGCTCCTTGGCGGCGGCATCAAACACTCCTTTCGCAGAAACACCCAGACGTGACAGCTCCTCTTTTAGCAACAGAAGCAGCGTGCTCCCCCGCACCCTCCCCAGCCTGGAAGGAGAGTCTGGAGCTCCCGGAGCTCCCGGGGCTGCCCGGGCGGGCGGGCGCGCGCGCACCCTCCCCACTCCCGGGGAAACTTCGCCGCTGTGCGTGCACCCCAGTAGTAAACGCTACCGCGAGGGCGCCTAAGGGAGCGGGGCTGGAGGCTGGGAAGGGCTAGCCCAGGAGGACCGAGGCATGGGTGCAAGGTGCACCGTGCACGATGCACGGGCGTCCAAGAGAGCCTGGGGAAGAGCGAGCAGGAAGTTAAGTTCAAGTGCACAGAGCCCCGGAGAGACTGGGTGGGGAGGGAGGAATGCCCCACTTCTCAGGCTGGCTGCTCGATAGACCCCTGTCCGCGTGCGGGGAAGCCCACGCTGGGGGACGGGGGGGGGGAGAGAAGGGAGCCTGGGGGAATGAAAGCGCACCTTCGAGGCTGGCTGGGAGAGGAAGAAAGGGGATGCACGAGATGTCCGTGCTTCTGGAGGGAAGGGCGCGTGCAGGTGTCAATAGCAAGGGATTGGAGGGCGGAGGGGCCGGGGTGGACAGAGAGGGTCCTGCCATATGCACGGCAGTCAATGCCCTGGCTCCGGGTCTCCCGAATATGGCTCCCACATTCGAGGATGGGGACGCCTAACTCCAGCAAGGAAATCGCCCCCTCCCCGTGTCTCTCCCTTTTCCATTTGTCCCCAGTCTAACCCCGCGCCCGGCGCCCACCCATCCCCACTCCCACCGCCCTCACCTGGATCTGGCAGGAGATTTCGGAATCGTCCAGCAGCCGGATGGTACATGTCATCTCCTGGCTGAGCGATCTGATGCTCGAGCTCCGAAAGCGGATCATTTTCATCGTCCTCCTGCCTCCCCGCACACAGCGGCAGGATGCAAACATACACCGCGGCCCCGGGGAGCGGGAAACCTCCGGGAGACACCCACGAGGGCTGCCCGCCGAGCAGCAGCGGCAGCGGCGGCGGCGGCGGCGGCGGGAGGAGGGGGCCGCGATCAGCCCCGGGGAGGCGGCGGCGGCGGCGGGAGAGGCGGCGGCGGGAGAGGCGGCAGCTGGCCAGACATGCTGGTAGTGAGAGCGATGGCTGGTGATTCCCTCCCGCCCGCCCCGCTCCCTCCGCCTCCGCCCCCCCGGCTCCCAGTCCCTTCCTGCTCGCCTCTCGCCAAAGAGAACCCGGGCTGGTGACGCCGTCACCGAAACACACACACACCCTGGCAAGGAGAAAGAGGGGGTGGGGGGCGGCAGAGGGCTCTGGGGGCAACCCCGCGGAGAGAGAGGGGAGGGGGGCGAGAGAGAGAGAGAGAGCGAGACAGCGAGAGAGAGCGAGAGAGAGAGAGAGATCCCTGTATGTGATGCTGTTGCTGCTGCGTCAAGCTTTGCTCTGCTGTCTCCTGCTTAGGTTTAGCTTCCCTCCCTCCCCCAGCCTGCCTGTTTTCTCAGCATAACCTCCTTCTCTCCTTCTCTCTCTCTTTCTCTTTCTCTCTCTTCCTCCTATCTCTCTTTCTCCCTCCTATCTCTTTCTCTCCCCTTCCCCTTCTCTTCT